AGATGGCAGTGTTAAAGCGGCTAATGAATGATCCGCTGTACACACACACACACACACACACACACTTCACTCACACAGATCTGCTGCGACACACCAGCGTCTCCATCCACCAAAACAACCCAGAAGTGTGTCACTGCGAGCGTGAAATGAAGTGTCGTCTCTGCATTTGGACTGTTCACACCATAAGATGACTGTAGTGATAACTCACACACACACACACACACACACACACACACACACACACACACACACACACACACACAGTCTGTCATTTAAGCATCTGCAGGGATTAGCATTTAGCATTTATCACCCAAAGTAAAGTTTATTTATAAACTAATTTTGAGCGGATCACATGTTCATGATTGATCACAGCCGGTGCTGCATTATCCAATCTATGATTGACCAATCAGACGATTCCTAAGCCACTATAAGCTCCATATCTCAGCCATCTTTGTTTTAAAGAATCCCCCCATCCACCCCTACTCCATCTCCTTTCCTAGATGGGCTGCACGGTGGCCCAGTGATTAGCACTGTTGCCTCACAGCAAGAACGTCACTGGTTGTAATCCTTACCAAGCCAGCCGAAATTTCTGTGCGGCGTTTACACGTTCTCCCCGTGCTCACGTTGGTTTCCTCCTTCAAAAAACATGCAACTTAAGTTTAATTGACTAATCCAGCACCATAGACATGCTCCTAGTAGTTATCTCTTTAGAGCGATCACTATCTGTTCATTAGCTACAGCAGGGGAGTTCTCCAGAGCTCAAACTCCCTTCTTGCCTTGCAAACAGGGGGGAGCCCCAGGCTAGAGGATCGTATGAGCTCAGGGCTCTCTCCCGGGACAGCATGCCAAACACGCTTTATAATCAATCATCAGCTAAGTGTGAACTCTTGAAAATGTAAATTCTCTCATCATTTACTCGCCCCTTTTTTACTTTTTTAAACAGAGAAAAGAAGATATTTATAAAATGTCAGAAACCTGTAACCATTGACGTCTGTGTTTTTCCCTACTATGGAAGTGAATAGTTACAGGTTTCCAAATATCTTCTGTGGTGTTGTTTAAAAGAAGAAAGAAACTCTTTTTTGGGGGGGGGTGAGCTATTACTTTAAAGGCACAATAGAAAAGTTTTTATTTTATTGAAATATACAGTTTAAATGCAGAGAAATAAACTGTTGAATTAGCGAGACGAAGCTGTGTGGTGAAAATGCTTCATTTCAACAAAAGGCTTACAGTTCTGTCCTCAATCATACATAGTAGGTATACAATATACAAATGCTATACAGAAGTCAAGGCCGACCAACTCAAAGTATTGAAGACTTTCACACTGCTGAATGTTTTCTCGTCCACATTTTTGTCAACTTTATTAAAACGTTGAGATAGTGAAGTTATATTTTGTGTCAAATTTGTCAAAACAAGCGCTCCTACTCAGCATATTAAATCTCCTCTAGTCATGCCGACTCATTTAAAATGAGTTCTGACACCTGAAGCAGTTATAATAAGCAGCACTTCACAGCGAGCCTCCATTAGTTCATGCATTTCCTGACATAAACACAAAGTAAACAGTATTAATTAATCATAGTAACGTTGACTAATGCATTATTAAAATCCAAAGGTGTGCTCGTTCACATTAGTTAATGCACTGTGAGTTAAAGGTGCTGCATGTAAGACTCTTTTAATTCATAGAAACACCATAATATGTGTGCAGATATTTCAGAAACATGCGCAGTGAACATTCTAGCATATCTAAAAAACGATGTTGAAGTCAGATATTCTGTCTTTGTTTAGGTCATTAAACCCGCCCACTGCCAGTTATATAAACCAATTATATTTCAGCACCCTGGGATTCCTTGGTGGAAAACAGCGTATTTCATTCAGTCAGTCAGGAAGGCTCTCAAAGTGTGTGTCTGTGACTGAAATGTGACTTTCGGTGGTCAGTTGCAGCCTTCGAAATGAGAAGCAGATTCAGAGTTCCACATGAGCTGGTTATTAATTAGCAAATAATATAAATATTATGAGTGTAAACATTAGGTGAGCAGGTCACATTGAACTTACACACTGCACCTTTAACATGAACTATCAACAAATGACTTCCTCTTCATTGACTAATAATAACAAAGAGGCGGTTCATTCCGCTGTGGCGCCCCAGATTAATGAAGTGACTAAGCCGAAAAGAAAATGAATGAATGAACATTAAGAAAGATCCATGTTAGTAAATGCATGTTGTTTTAAAGTGTTATCTATAATGGTGAAGTGACTGGATTTAATGTGTTGATCGTCTTGCTGATGTTGTCCTGCACAGCGGCGTAATGGCGAGGACATTCCCGTGGCGGAGAAGAAAAACATCAACCACAGGAAGTTTGCGGCTTCTTTCCGCCTGAAGGAGGTCAGCAGTCAGGACCAGGACCTGTACCGCTGCGTCACGCAGTCCGAGAGGGGCTCCGGGGTCTCCAACTTCGCTGGACTCATCGTCAGAGGTAAAGCAGGTCTCCTGTGTGTACACTATTTTGATTTATGTAAACAATACCAATAGTCCCAATGTCCTGTAGTAAATATTTTATTTGCATAGCTGAGCAATTTCATCAAATTGCCATGAAAGTTTCCCTGAAATAGCGAAACTCTTTCTAGGTTTTTAGGTGTCACGAACCAAACTGAGTTGATGTGCTGAAACCGAAGGCTTGTTTTACATTTTTGTAGCCCCATATTTCCGATGAGCCTGGGCTATCTGGCCAATATTAACCTATTAATTCATTATATTTTATGTCACACGTTACAGATATCTTAATTATTCAATGTTTATCTTCTAATCAATCCGTCATGACTACAAGCCACTCTGTAGATCATTATTAGACATATTAAAGGTGAAGCATCATTTTAAAATTAGATATAGTCATTCATGTACACACTTGGTGCAAGTTAAAATGCTAATTTACATAAGTTTAAAGTTGGATAATAGCTAAAACATACCAGTTAAATGTTGATTGTAGCCTTTAAAGCAGCATTTTATAGTTAGTTCCCTCTGCTGTATTGAAAACACACACAGCATGTCTTTAAATCTGAGTAACGAACCAAACTGAGTTGATGTTCTCAAACCGAAGGCTTGTATTTTACATTTTTGTAGCCACATATTTCCGATGAGCCTGGGCTATTTGCCAATATTAACCTACAGTTGAAGTCAGAAAATATAAGCCCCCCTGAATTATTAGCGCCGCTGTTTATTTTTTTCCCCAATTTCTGTTCTGTTCTGGGAAGATTGATTCAGCACATTTCTAATCATAATAGATTTAAAAACTTATTTCTAATAACTGATTTATTTGATCTTTGTCATGATGACAGTAAATAATATTTTACTAGATATTTTTCAAGACACTTCTATACAGCTTAAAGTGACATTAAAAGGCTTAACTAGGTTAATAAGGTGAACTAGGCAGGTTAGGGTAATTAGTCAAGTTATTGTATAACGATGGTTTGTTCTGTAGATTATTGGGGGAAAAATTTGCATAAAGGGGCTAATAATTTTGTCACAAAAATGTTTTTTTTTTAAATTAATAACTGCTTTTATTCTAGCCGAAATAAAACAAACAAGACTTTCTCCAGAAGAAAAAATATTATCAGACATACTGTGAACATTTCATTGCTCTGTTAAAAAATCATTTGGAAATATTTAAAAAAGAAAATAAAAATCAAAAGGGGGCGAATAATTCTGACTTCAACTGTATTCATTCATTATATTTTACTTCACACATTAATGTTGCCGTAATTAATAAGGCAACTCTAATCATTCTGACATGACAATAAGCCACTCTGTAAATCATTATGTTTCATATTAGAGGTTAAACATCTTTTTAAAATTAGATATGGGCATTCATGTACACATATTTCTGATGAGCCTGGGCTATTTGGCCAATATTAACCTATTAATTCATTATCTTTTACTTCACACGTTACAGATATCTTAATTATTCAATGTATATTTTCTAATCAATCCGTCATGACTACAAGCCACTCTGTAGATCATTATTAGACATATTAAAGGTGAAGCATCATTTTAAAATTAGATATAGGCATTCATGTACACACTTGGTGCGAGTTAAAATGCTAATTTGCATAAGTTTAAAGTTGGATAATAGCAAAAACATACCAGTTAAATGTTGATTGTAGCCTTTAAAGCAGCATTTTATAGTTCGTTCCCTCTGCTGTATTGAAAACACACACAGCATGTCTTTAAATCTGAGTAACGAACCAAACTGAGTTGATGTTCTCTAACCGAAGGCTTTTCCACCCAGAGAAACGTCCATCGCGGCTACAGAGACCATCTGCTTGTTTAAGCGCCGCTAAATAATACAAATGCATTCCTATTTCAATTACCATTGGGTGCCACGTTATTATGCGCAACCTGTTTATGCAAACGAAGCTCTCTGGGTGTTTTTGGCGAGTGCTTCTCCGCAAGCGAGTCCTCCGAGCTGGAGTTTGCAGATGCGACTCTGAGTGTGTGTGTGTGAGAGAGAGTTAGCGGCGGCCGGAGCGCTGCAGGGACACACACTGACAGCTCAGATATCTCCAGCACACTTCCCCAGCTGACATCCTGCTACAAGGATACCAAAGATGGTAATTTCAGCGGAAATTTTTGGGCCATGGATTTGTGCGCGCGCTAATGGGAGCTGGCACTGAGTCGCCTATTGTCGCGCGTGACCCCGGGCTAGTGCTTTATTAGCTCCCGCTCTCCCTAATGCGGGCCGACAGCGGGGCCTCGCGGCTGTTTGGGGCCGCTTTGTAACAAATGAAAATTTCAGGGGCGAATTCTTGCGCTGGAGAAGTATCGATCCGCGTGTCCCCCAGCTGCGGGAAGAAAGATGGGAGAGGGAAAAAAAGTCAGACACAAGCGAACACAGTTGTCGCCTCTGAGCGCGCGCGGGAGCTCCGCATGTTTAGCCCAGGGTTTCCAGTAATGACATTACGGCCTCTCTGGCTTGTAGAGAATAAACCGAATTGACAGGACGTGCACTGAGAAACACTTTCAGATGCAAACAGTCGATAAAAGCCGGCCCTGTTTTTATTAGATCTCACCACTGTGGAGATCCAGAGTCAGACTGCAGAAAGACCTGCTCGAACGGCAAACAGAAAGCGCTTTGGTTTAGCAAAGTAAAACAGAATATCTACTGTTAATTTACTCAAATAAGTGCTTAAAATGATAATCTCACACACCATTTATTCGCTCTTCCATCTTCACTCTGCAACGTAAAGGACGATAATTTTGATGAACTGTCTGAGTAGCTGCTTAATATGTAACTTTAATGTATTGTATTCGTAGTTTCTTCATATGTACTCCTATAATAGCTTATAGTATTGGGGGCTAATTCGTATGTATCTTCAATGTATGGTATTGGTAGCTGCCTAATATGTAGGTTTAATGTATCGTATCAGTAGCTGCTTCAAATGTACCTTTAATGTATCGTATCGTATCAGTAGCTGCTTTATATGTGTCTTTAATGTATCGTATCGTATCAGTAGCTGCTTCAAATGTACCTTTAATGTATCGTATCGTATAAGTAGCTGCTTTATATGTGTCTTTAATGTATCATATCGTATCAGTAGCTGCTTTATATGTGTCTAATGTATTGTATCGTATCAGTAGCTGCTTTATATGTCTAATGTATCGTATCGTATCAGTAGCTGCTTTTTGTGTCTTTAATGTATCTTATCGTATCGGTAGCTGCTTCATATGTACATTTAATGTTTAGTATCGTATTAGTAGCTGCTTTATATGTGTCTAATGTATCGTATCGTATCAGTAGCTGCTTTATATGTGTCTAATGTATCGTATCCTATCAGTAGCTGCTTTATATGTGTCTAATGTATCGTATCATATCAGTAGCTGCTTTATATGTGTCTAATGTATCGTATCGTATCAGTAGCTGCTTTATATGTGTCTAATGTATCGTATTGTATCAGTAGCTGCTTTATATGTGTCTAATGTATCGTATCGTATCAGTAGCTGCTTTATATGTGTCTAATGTATCGTATCGTATCAGTAGCTGCTTCATATGTACATTTAATGTATAGTATCGTATCAGTAGCTGCTTTATATGTGTCTAATGTATCGTATCGTATCAGTAGCTGCTTCATATGTACATTTAATGTATAGTATCGTATCAGTAGCTGCTTCATATGTATCTTTAATGTATCGTATCGGTAGCTGCTTCATATGTATCTTTAATGTATCGTATCGGTAGCTGATTTATGTGTCTTTAATGTATCGTATCGGTAGCTGCTTCATATGTATCTTTAATGTATCGTATCGGTAGCTGATTTATGTGTCTTTAATGTATCGTATCGGTAGCTGCTTCATATGTATCTTTAATGTATCGTATCGGTAGCTGATTTATGTGTCTTTAATGTATCGTATCGGTAGCTGCTTCATATGTATCTTTAATGTATCGTATCGGTAGCTGCTTTATATGTATCTTTAATGTATCGTATCGGTAGCTGCTTCATATGTATCTTTAATGTATCGTATCGGTAGCTGATTTATGTGTCTTTAATGTATCGTATCGGTAGCTGCTTCATATGTATCTTTAATGTATCGTATCGTTAGCTGCTTCATATGTATCTTTAATGTATCGTATCGGTAGCTGATTTATGTGTCTTTAATGTATCGTATCGGTAGCTGCTTCATATGTATCTTTAATGTATCGTATCGGTAGCTGATTTATGTGTCTTTAATGTATCGTATTGGTAGCTGCTTCATATGTATCTTAAATGTATCGTATCGGTAGCTGATTTATGTGTCTTTATTGTATCGTATCGGTAGCTGCTTCATATGTATCTTTAATGTATCGTATCGGTAGCTGCTTTATATGTATCTTTAATGTATCGTATCGGTAGCTGCTTCATATGTATCTTTAATGTATCGTATCGGTAGCTGATTTATGTGTCTTTAATGTATCGTATCGGTAGCTGCTTCATATGTATCTTTAATGTATCGTATCGTTAGCTGCTTCATATGTATCTTTAATGTATCGTATCGGTAGCTGATTTATGTGTCTTTAATGTATCGTATCGGTAGCTGCTTCATATGTATCTTTAATGTATCGTATCGGTAGCTGATTTATGTGTCTTTAATGTATCGTATCGGTAGCTGCTTCATATGTATCTTAAATGTATCGTATCGGTAGCTGCTTCATATGTATCTTTAATGTATCATATCGGTAGCTGCTTTATATGTATTTTTAATGTATTGTATCGGTAGCTGATTTATGTGTCTTTAATGTATCGTATCGGTAGCTGCTTTATATGTATTTTTAATGTATTGTATCGGTAGCTGATTTACGTGTCTTTAATGTATCGGTAGCTGCTTCATATGTATCTTTAATGTATCGTATCGTTAGCTGCTTCATATGTATCTTTAATGTATCTTACCGGTAGCTGATTTATGTGTCTTTATTGTATCATATTGGTAGTTGCTTCATATGTATTT